ATGAGGGCGCAATACTGCTTGTCGATCGAAAGTTCCACAGGCTTGATTTAACGTGTACAGATCAGCGAACGCCATCTCAGTCACGTAATTGATTTTATTCACATAAGTGACATCATTCTTCTTCCCAGAGTTCCTTGCGGTTACATCCCCGAATTTATATATTCGTGGAATAGAAATCTGCCCGAGAGATTGAAGAGATTATCCTCCCCCCCCCCCCCCCCGAGAACGACAGTGTGAAATGTATGATGTCAACGTTATCTGTGGCCCAGTACAATTGGTTTTTGCGTTTTATAACAGTAATGTGTGGCACAAATGATGTCGATATACAATGTTGACATTTCTGGGAACGTGGCTTGGGTACGAAGGGGTAATTAAATAGAGTATGTATGAATGATAGAAATGAAAGTTTGTTGGTATGTATCTATAATTATTCGTTTTAATATTAGTCAGCAATATGACCTTTTTCTAATTTTGAAGGTTTCCATTACTTTTTGTCAATTCATAATTTGTTTATGTGGTATAAAGCATACTTAACGCCAAAATTAATAAATTAAATTGAAGTTTGTAAGTTTAAATTACGATATACATTTATAAGTCTAGATATGAGATTTTTAATTGCATATTAGTTAAGATATTGAAGCGGAGGGGTCGTCACCTGCGCATGCGTGGGAGGTGAGTTCCAAGCGACGATAACATCACACGCTAAAAACGCAAAGACTCATGGGTAGACGTTTTTTGGAGTAAATTTGAAGTAGATTTATTTTGAAATTATTGGCGAAATCATTTTGTCATTTTTTCACAACAGAGGCTATGATGTCAAACATTAACCATAATCCTTTGAATCAAGATGGTGATCAACATAATGCTGATGAAAGGATATCTGGAGAATGAAAAGTGATATAAAAAAGTCATAAACTGCGTTCTCCTACATTTTCCTGGTGTTTGTCGTACTTTTATTTACGGATAGTTTCCAATTACCTTTCCAAATTCGAAATAATGCCTAAAATACGTGTTTTTTTATTATAATTGTGTCACATGTAATTAGAGGTGAATACAGCCTTAAAACTTTGGCAAACCACGAACCATTTTCCATTACATTTCTGTAGCAAACACATCAACAACATTCATAACTATAGAACTCTTGCTCTTTTCAATATTAATTCAGAATGAAAGAAATGGCAAATAAAACGAAATGTAAGTTTCGCTTGATTTAAGCTTGCAATTAAAATAATTCAATTGATTAAGCATTGATTCACGCCAGAAAAAATGTTTGATCAGTTTCTGAGAAATTTCAAGAGATTACACAGTGATTTTTCTCCAAGCGCTGACTAGACTCGCTGAATCACCCTCAACCACGCCACCAACGGCAGTTGTCAGTTGAGGAGAACACACACAGAACACGCTACAGAGAATGCCCGGTCGGTCCGATTATAAAATCTAATGGTGTAAATTTGTTTTCCGGCCTTGCTGGCGGTATTTCACCAGTTACTGTACGCTGTTCGTATAGCTTACTTCAATATTTCACATTTTAGGTGTGACATAAACGCCCGAAAGACTGAACACATCACAACATACGTACAGTTACCGACAAGACGCGCGTAATGAATTGAGCAAGATATCGATGTACAGTTTCATGAAACTCTTTGAAAATTGCTGATAATTTGTGGATAGATTTTTCATAGTTATATAAATATCATTCATGAGTAGACAAAATAATGG